AAATGCCACTAATCTTTATTTTTGTTTTGTGCCCTTTGTGTTTTGTTTGACCATTTTTTTATTTTTTTAGCAGTTAAGAGCCCCCAAGAAGAAAAAAAAAAAAAAAAAGTTAAAAAAAAAAAAAAAAAAAAAAAGGGGCGCAAAGCGCAAAATTCATCCTGACGGTACAGATAAAAGCAGACGGACCAGAACCAGGAGGCTGGATTTGACTCGACCGCACTAATCAGTCCAAACCTGGAACTACTCAGCCAAATGTTTTTTTTAATACAGCTCACCTGAGCGAGGTTTCAGCCCAAACGGAGGACTGGAGAGAGATGGAGGTCCCATGGTTGGAGATCGATGTTCTTGCTGAAACAACAGAAATGACATCATCGCTTTAAATATTCAACCATCAGTAAATTAACAGAATAGACACATAAAGTTATCCAGCACATGGGAGCAGTTTGCATTAAACTTCTAAATGACTCAGCAGAGATGAACTAAAAACAAAACACAGAAACACATACAGTTGTGTGATGAAGCTTTATCAACAGAATTTCACTGGCCAAAACTACTACTTTATTCTCATAATTTTCTTTTTTTTAGTGTTACACTCTGTCGTAAAAACATCTCAAAAGGTAAAAATGGAATAGCGTGCTAAGCTAATGCTATATAGAAGATCCCAGTATTGGCGGTGATAAGAAACCGAAAATCAGTAAACGCTTTAATTTGTCTAAAATGATTACTAACTGCCTATTATAATAGTTTTCACACCAAATATACCTTCACATCATGTATTAATACGCACAGTGGAAGCCGCAGAAGCTAAAGTTTATGGCCTTCCTCGTCTATGGCTCTGGAGGCACAGCCAATCAGCATCAAGGAAAATAAATCCAGGAATAATGTGGAGTTACATTATGTGATTCATAGGCTTCACTGAGAAAACATTGTTTCCCAGACTTTGTCTCAATCTCATCAACCTAATATTGTATCATTCTTTCCCATGAGCTGAACAGATTGTTACATAAATGTCCACTCAGGCTGACATTATTTTGCAGAGTGGGAAAAAATTTCCTTTAGCAGAATAGGAGTTCAATCAACTCCTGTTCATTTGTCAGATGACAAACAGGAGCCAAAATTCTTCACAGCTAAAAAAAAAAAAAAAAAAAAAAAAAATCACTCCACACTAACACGTAACACCCCGGCTGTCGGTTTCTCCATGGTCGATAAGAGCTTCATTCCTCCTGAAGTGAATCGCTTTGACCAGTGACGATGTGCAGCAAGACAGACACATGTTTCAAATCCTCACATGTGCAACAAGCTGCCAGATGAAATGCAACACATGTGGAGGGGGGGAAAGCTCAGCCGGCGAGCACAACACAGCTAACGGACTCTGCTGCCACGGTTACCTTGAGGGACATATGCCACTCATAGTCCCGGCATGCAAGCTGGGCCTCAAAGCGGGCCTTTTCTAGAATCATCCGTCTCTTCTTCTGGAACTCATAGCCTCCCTCCTCCATGCGCTGCCACAGGACGCACCCAAACGTTCAGGCGACAACTCGTTAAGCTTTACTCATAACCATCAACAAAGTTACATTCTGAACAGAAAGTTGGGTTTTCCAGGATATATATATAAAAAAAGAGGCTGCAGTTTGATAATGAGAATAACCGTAGAAATGGTAACGTCTCTAAGTAGTAAGAATATTCAGCTTTAACTATTACTTCTTTAAACAAATGGGAGATAGGAATCAGATAATTATTGTTCCAAGGATTTACATCATCACAACATAACCACGGTTAATAAGGTTCGGTTTCCTTGGAAACAATGTAAGATATTACTGTCACAAGATGCGTTTCAGGTTACAAATGTGCGGAAACTTTATCAGTATTTCCCCAACATAAAAAAACCCAAAACAAACAAAGCACAATTCCATTAAAGAAACACAATTATAATAGCAAGTAAATAAGTTTGTATACAAGTTAAAAACATCATCCTACTCTCACTTCCTGTCGTCTTTATCGTCATTTCTGCCAGTAGTAATGTCCGATTGTTGATCACGTGACTCATTTGGTATCAAAAAAGTTTTTCTGTTGCAGTTTTTGCGAAATACACAAATTTTGATACGGCCGAAAACGAGCCTCATCCTAGCGTCAAAATCTTTTTGCTTTTTTTTTCTAAATTCCTGTGTTTCCATGAAGCTAATTTATTTTCATAATTCCAATTAGCGCAATTATTTTGTCAACGGAGATGCAGGGAGGATCTCCAGTCATAGTCACTCTTCCAACAAACTTGAAGTACCTTCTTACTGAGGACCGTAATGACATGCTAACAGCTCAATTTCTGGGCTGCAGAGATGATATTCCACAGTAAAATATCCTGAATGACATTCAAATGTTAGCGAGCTCCACTAATCCACCTCCTTTGCTTTTGCCTCTACTCTTTAAATCTGTGTCTGGTTAGAAATCCGGGCAGAGAGACATTGGAGTCATAGATATGATGATTTTTTTTCTCTGTTCTTTGATTCAACCAAAGAAATCCTGAACGAATGTCTATAACAAGAACAAATCAGAGCCAACGTGTCACATCAGTAACGGCATCTCTGGTGACATCTAGTGGTAAAACTGCAGAATGCAAAAAAAAAAAAAAGCCTAACCATGTGTGTCCCTGGCAGGGAAGTAAGAGAAAACAACATGTCACATCCTTTAGAGTCAGCACTTGGTTTGTCCATTCTGGGCTACTGTAGGACACTAAAACCAGGGTAATAACTCAAAATTTTGCATTATGGAAATTACTTTATTAAGAAAAACAGGAGCGATATTATGAATGTTTAATACTGGAGGCGACTGATTGAGGCATTACTGTTTATTCTGAAATGCAAACTCCTAAAACAGATTTCTAAAAAGAAACAAATCAAACTGATGATCCTGAACATTTTTTCTACAACTATTTAAATGAACATTTTGATTACCAAGTTTACACTCGACAAACTTGACATTAAAAAACATCATCTGTCACTAAACTTCATTATGTAGGATCATGTTATGCTGTCAGGTAGTGAAGTACAGTAGAGCAGCAAAGCCTGCCTGATTCTAAGATAGAAACGTTTTGCCAAACTGTACCTTTGGTGTTGTGCTTCCCTCATCGCTGTCTTGTCCACTGAGAAAAACACACAAGACAAGGAAACGTCAGGATGTTCTGGGGTAAACAAAACAATATGTCTACAAGTGACAATTTTTTCTAAATACTTAAAATATAACTTCCGCATTCCTGGGACTGATGTCTGTTTACATTGTGTAAACTTACTTGAACGACTCCTCCACGGTGACCATCTCCACCGGGTAGAGCTGGACCTCAGACAGATCATCCTGCTCTGCGCTCACTCTGAAACGTAAAGGTTAAACACCTGCCGTTTTACACCTGCCTGCTGTGGCTGCTGCTGTTTACAAAATAAAAACTATCAACAAATTCTGGAAGAAGACTGCAGCTTTCAGCAACTCAAATTTAAGATTTTCTAAGACCACTACAAAGGGAAAACCTTTATTGCGACAGAAATTTACAAAGATGTACGACTTGGCAACAGAAGTGAGCTAATGGCTAACATCCTCTAGCCAACTGGCGACTGATTTGAACTTGCTTTACTTTTGCTAGCTAACATGGGTATATAAGCAGGTAGTTACTGGTAGCCACTACCTCCTTTACCACAGGTCTTAAATTTAAGATCTATGTTAAGGGTAATTAGCTGCTAACATACCCCTGCACTGTATATTAGCAGCCAGTTACCAGTAGCCGCTACATCCTTGGAAAAAGGAAATTACCTAGAATATGTGAGATTAAATCGTCCTGCCATGACAAAATTTAAGGCCACCTTGTTGTTTTTCAATGAACAAGACATTTTGAGGCCTTAATTTTAGATGCATGAATTTAAGCCTTGTTAAGGCTGTGTGGACAGCCTCTGGATGCTAAAGGGAAGTTAAATGACTCGTTAAATCAGAGGAGAACTGAACTAATCTCAGTCTCTGAGTTGGAAGTTTATAATTCCTGTTTTCTCACCTGTTGGGGTTCTGCAGCAGCTCCACCGCCTCCTGTAGCTGGTTAATCATGTCAATATGGAGCTCTGTGCCCCCCGAGACCTTGGACCTGTCCAAAAACACAAAACGGACACATAAGCAGAACATATCTGATGTAGTTAGCAAGGAATGACTGTGGGACAGAATAAATAAAACAGGTGAATCTCCCCTGAAGAACCTACATCTGCTCAGTCTGCCAGTGTGAGTCTTCCTCTATCCTGAGGGGCTCTTCAAAGTCCGCTGCTGTTCGGCCCTGCGCGCGCGCACACACACACACACACACACACACACACAGGTCAGCGCCAGCTGCACCCGTCACATGACACGCAGCCTTCGTCAGCCATTGGCGAGAAATCAGAGACACTAGCGCCATCTCGCCCATACAATAAGCCGTCTGTTCATCTGCTCTTTAAGATACGTGATTGATTTGGTGTCATTAAATGGTTTTGGACAACTGGGAGGAGATTTAACAAAGATAAAATGAAATAAATTAAATCATTAAGGGATGTGTCGATGAGATAAATTCTATACATATTTTATCAGCCATAATTATGTAATTTTTTTTTTCTAATCCACTGAATCAGATTTGAAGCAGTAAAAATTGGAACAAAAGCACAATTGTTGTTCAACAAAACTGACTGAAGATCAAAACTGGAAGTTCAGAAGTTATGGATTACAAACAGTCAGATGATCAACTTAAAAAGTAAAATGTACGTTAAAAACTGCTTCAGTTACCTTTTTTTAAATGGATTGCTAGAGATGCAAACAGATGTGCCTTTTTCTCCACTGAATAAATGTACTTACATTAAAAGGTTGGATCTTTCAAAATGTCTAGTGTTACATTATACTGCTGCGATAAAATATTAACTCATTTTAAGATGCAGCTCCCCTCACGTCTTCTGAAAGGAAAGCCGTTCAGTCACCGTGACAGCGCTACATAACTCCCAGCAGAGAACAGCATTATTGATGGAGCGAGGTCATTCCCTGCACCGTGACGCCTTGCCTTGATGTAGCTGATGAAGCCAGTGCTGAGAGTCGACTCTCTGTAGCTCAGCGGGTCATTCAGGGCTTCCGTAGGACTCTCCTCTATCAGGCGCACCGAGTCGGAGTTCGGGTCGGCTGCAATGAAACGAATGTCAGAGTTCGGAACCGACCGGTTGATGTTTCAGGAAAGGGTTTTATGGTTTTCAGAGATGGTGAATTTACAGCAGGAAATGTCCAGTTTGGCATTGAGAAACTTCACTGCATGAGACAAACAGAGCAACCAGAAACACTGATATCACCAGATACACTGGAAACTAACTTTTGTAATTTTTCACCAAGATAAAGGATCTTGTTCTAGGTAAACAATTCCTTAATATTGATTTAAAAAATACTAGTTTGATTAGGAGATTAAACTAAAAAGGAATTGTTGACTTAAAAGAAGCTCCATATCTTGCTGAAAAGTTACTTTTAAGTTAATACACTAGAAATGATTCAAAACCAAGATATCTGCAGTAGAGACTAGACAAAAAATACTTGGTAAGATTTAGTATTTTTGCTTTTTGCACTTTATTTCCCTCAAAACGTTCCACATCTTGTCCAGGTTTGAATGTATTTTACAACACAAAGTAGTCGTGCGTTATTGTTAAGTGAAGGAAATAAAGACCTTTAAATGTTGGGAATCATTTGAATCCATCCAATTAGTTCAGTGCTGTGATTCAGTAAAGCTCTGTTAGCAAACTGTTAGCAAACATAAATTACCCAGAGAGCCCACTTCTTCTTGTCGGCCCAGGGAATGTGACACTCCATCAGCTTAACCTAATTAAGGCTGATTGAAGTCTATTTAAACTGTGCGTCCTGGGAGCTGCTGCTGTTCTCCATTAGGGCCCGGACGATGTGAGCAACACACACCCATGCTACCAGCTGGACCCCTGGAAGGGTCAGCGGAGAAACGGATGGTCTTTCTGTGGCGTCAAACCAACTCAACAAGCTCTAAACACACACACACACACACACAATCACTTTAACCCAGAGGGAAGACGAGGTTGGCACCGAATCTTTGCCTGACTAATGGAGAGACTCTGAACTCTCACCACATTCTATGCAGTTAAGAGCTTCTTGATGAGCTGCAGCTCAATGTGCTCCGGACACAATGAGGCAGACAAGTGATAAAGTTCGTCCTCTGCTCGTTCATATTGTCTCTGTCATTAAGCCAAACAGCAGCTTTCATGAAGTTATCCACTTAGCACTTTGGGGTCTTGCGTTCAAGCAAACTTGCTATTGATCAGCAAGTCCATTAAAGAAAGAAAAGATTTGGAGTGGCCTAGTCAAAATCTAGACTTAATCCAGACGCTGCAGTGGGACTATAAGCATAGTGTTCATGCCTGAAAACCCTCCAAAGCATCAGGTTTCCATGGAGGAGCATGTCAGAGTTCAGAATATGGCAGAAACGCTTGATGGAAACAGCTGCCAAGGATGGCACAACTGGTTATGATTCCAGCGCATTTCGAGAGCTTTCTCTTCATGAACTTACTCAAAAATTGCATTTTGCATTTAAGTTTGGACACCCTTAAACTAATATGACGCTTTTGTTTTCATTTCAGGACTCAGTTTTCTTTGTCAGGAGAATGTCAGGGTTTCTTCCAGTGCATTATAAGCCTGGCGGGTCACCAGGCTTTACCTGCTTCTCCACCAGGCTAAGTGTTGTTTGCTTACTTTAAGTAGGTTTTTTTTACATGCACCAGTAACGGTGACAGTGAAAACAGATTAAGCTCGGTTTATAGTTAGTAGACTGTGGTTGAACTAACTATACGCAACAGGGAGCACACTGATTATGAAAACAACAAACTGAAATTCAAGCATTTTCAAGAACTTCAGCCATACGAACCCTGTTTTTTGTGTGTTTGTTTTTATGTTAGCATTACTCTGCAGCGCTGTGGCCAGTGACAGTTGTTCTGCAATGTGCTGCATAAATAAATGTGACTTGATTTAGTTTTGGACTTTGGCTAGATTAATTAAATTCTTTTGGCGACGAATGGGCAAGGAATTGGATTTAAACTCTGACTCGCTGTTAATGCTTTAAAAAAAATAAAATCTTTCTTCTTTCTTTAGTTTCCCAGCAGGCCTGGAGGTCTTGGACCTGAACTGATATTTGAAATGCTCAAAATTCACCCACAAAAACACAGAGTCCATGTAAGGAAAAAGTAACTACCACCAACACCTTTCACCACAGCTTTGTATTCATTTGATGGTAAAAAGAGTTTTAGTTTCACCAAACTATTCTCCCACAAGATTTTGGCAGACTCTACAGCTTTAGCTAAAAGCATCAGAAAATTGTCAAAAAAAAAACCAACCAAACTTTATTCCCGCTTCATTAGAGTCACTTTAATTAATGGTAGATATGAACTCAAGAAGACCAAATGCTGAAATTTAAGGGAGTGCATTTTACTGCAACCACTGTGTGTAGGCTGTGTGTGTTTGTCGGTTTAACTCCTACCTGTCAGGGAGCTGATGTGTTCGCTGGAGTCGTCTTTGCTGATTCCCTCCTCTTCTGTAATGTTGCTCATCGGGACGTTGAGACTCAGACTGTCTTCGTCTGAAGGCTGCAGCAAGCAAAACGACCAAGACAAACATTATTACCTCAAATTACAACAGACGTCCTTCTCTTACCATGTCTAAAATCAGATTTTTTGCCCACATGGATTAAGAAACTACGGCATTATCGAGTATTTTATCAACACGGATTTCAGTTTTTCAGTTATTAAACATTAGTATTTCCCTAAAACTGACATCATACATCCAGAAAACATGAAAAGTTGTAAAACACAAAATGTGGCTAAATCCTCAGCATGAACAGCAGGTGCAGCCTGATTAAAGCAGAAATCCAGACGGACGCGAGGATGAAACCATGGCGACACAAACGCACCACCTACCTCGGTGGCAGACAGCCTCTTGTCTCCGTTATCGCTGCCGACTCCTGAGTCGCTGTCCTGCTTCTTCTGTTGCTCCATGTCCTCCACACTGCACACAAATTACACAGGTTACACACCTGACACACACACACGGGAGTGTGTGTGCGACTGAGTGACAGCGACACACTGAAGCAGAGGAAGATACCAACCCATCCCTCTCTCGCTTCTTCCTCTCTCTCCTACAGGATTCTCTCTTTTTTTTTTTTTACACAACTTAGGAAATAAACACTTAACTTATTTCCTTATTTATTGTATTTTATGTTTTGGGATATAATAACACATTCATAAGAGATGATTAGATTTTATTGCAGTTTAGTAAAGGTTTCACACGTCCCAAACAGTTTAAAGACACTGGAATCAATGAACATCATTGAAGTCCAGGCTTGTTTGCTAATACTTTATAGGTTTTTTTATGGTTTAATTATAAAGGTTTTTTCTGACAGTGCAGCAGGTAGTTGAATCAGCAAAATATTTTGCATGTGGATAAAAGAGTAAGTCTTAACACAAGATGTTCCCAGAGGCTTTTTTGACCAAAAAAAAAAAAAAAAAGACATTGAAAAAGTCAAGATGGCCGCCATGGTTGTCAACGAAAGTGTATTTTTCCACTGAATTTGCCATCATTTATCACAGATAAATACTTTTGGTGTCAGATCAAACATAATAGAAATATTCTTGAATTTTTCAAGATGGCCACCATGGTTGTGGTAAGACATTAACCTTTCCTCTAAATCACTAATTAAATTAATTTGTTTATTGTCAAATTGTGTCCTGCATATTCTGACCTTGACAAATTGTATAAATTTTCTTGATTTTGTGTTTCTGTTTACTTTTTAACAGTTTTCAAAATGGCCACCATGGAGGTAGTGGACTAAATATGTTTGAAATAATCTGCAGCAGCCGTTCCCAGTGATGGGAACAGCTAATCAAAAGAAGTTAGGCTAAGCAGGTGTCTTAGCTATGCGGTTGCTAAACACATAAAAATTAGCATAAGCTAATGCTAAACCGCTAAACACATAAAAAATTATTAGCATAAGCTAATGCTAAACTGCTTGACATTTATTTACAGTTGTATGAACAAGATTACCAAAGTCAAAAACAGATGATATGACAAAGTTCCTCAATTTCATGAAAATGGGGAACATTTATAGAAATAATTGGTTTAAAAAGCTCAAAAAATGGCAGCCATCTTGAAAAATGACAACAATGAGATTCTAGTTGGAAATATAAAGAATATGCAACCTGATTATGCTAATTTTTATGCTTGTATCCACTTGAAAGGTTTTTACAGCGATATGGTGCACTGGAATCCCAGAAAGCATTGAGGTTGTCTTCACAAACAGAATCATAAGTAACCCCAAATTGTGGTTTAATAAATCTCCATTACCTGGGTCATTACAATTCCTCTAGGAATATTATCTTAAATTATGTTTTGCTACTTTGTCCAATTTATTCTCCACCAAAATGTGTTACAGTGACACGTCTACAAGGGGCAACAAGGCGATTCCTCATTCAGAAAATGAGTTTTAGCTTTTGTTCCTTCTGGACTCGAGGCTAAAACAAGTTGAATGAAAATACAGCATATGGTGACATTAGGGTTCTTTTTTTCTGTGCTCTACATTAGAACTGGATGTGGACCGTTTCTGGGTCAGTCCCTCACACCCTTCTTCTCTCCATCTTCAGCTGCAGAATATATCTGCTGCCTTTTAAACCCTTCTAAACCTAAATAAAGGAAAACCAAACAAAACAAAAAAGACTGGGGATCATGGAAAACGTGACAGAAATAGAATGCGTTGGCTCCGCTGAGCATGACGGCACTTTTCTACACGAGAATAGAAACATTTTCTGTTCTGGCTAAGTGTTTGGTGAAGCCAGACACTTTCAGAGCTGGGCTCACTTTCAGCTGAGAGGCCAGAAAACCGACACCGGCTTTTCATCTCTTAAGCACTTCTGGCTCTTGTTCTTCCTCCCGCCCTCTGTTTAGTTTTGCTTCTCCCTTCGTTTCTTCCTGTCCTTCCATCACACTTTATAACTTTCATTTTATTCTTGATTCCATCACGTTTGCAACCAAGAGCCGAGTCCTGAGGGCTGCTGTTAAATCGAGCCGTTTTTTTAATGCACAAAAGCGACATAAGCAGATCATTTGCAACTAATTGTAATGTAATAAAATGTGTTTCCTGTTTCTTTAAACAAGTAAACTAGATTTAGACTTACTTCACTGTCACTGCACAAAGACACAATACTGAATCTGGCAACAAGATGTCGTTGCCTAGCTAGTTGGTTTTAAAAAGCTAAGGGATAAATCATGTAAATAATGTACGAATGTGTGAAAAATGTCCTTGTAGAGATACTTTCATAATATCAATGCCTAGGTCTCCTGACCTTTGATCCCCAGGGTTGATGAAGCCTCCAAAAAAAGATGAGCTACATTAATTCGGTAGCTTGACTAGGGTGAACAAACTCCTGCCTAAGATCAGTAGCTGTTAGTGATCAGTAGCACTGCTAGTGGATGTTTAGTGTAACGGAGCAGAAAGCTGAGGTCGCCGTTTCTCCTTACATCCTGTGGGTGGCTCAAAGTTAGCTCAAAGTTAGCCTCATTGGGATCAGTGATGCTAAACGCACTAACTAAATTTTGTCCTTCTGAGCTTTCAGTCTTTATTTCTCATGAAATGAGCTGGATTTGGAAATGTCACATTTTTGGAAATATAAGTTTAGATCTACCGTCTCTAGGGAATACACACAGAGACTCCTAGTTAGCAATGCTAACTGTGCTAATGGTCAATAAAAGATGCCAGGCACAGTGAACTGTCAATTCCATAATTACAGAGTCTCCTTAAAACGATTTCTTCCTGTTACACACAATATGTGGCGTTTAAATATACTGCTCAAAAAAATAAAGGGAACATTTCACTTTAATTTTGTGTGTGGCTCCAAATCCAGGCCTCCATTGGTTAATACATTTGATTTCCATTGATGATTTTTGTGTGATTTTGTTGTCAGCACATTCAACTTTGTACAGAACAAAGTATTCAATGAGAATATTTTATTCATTCAGATCTAGGATGTGTTATTTGAGTGTTCCCTTTATTTTTTTGAGCAGTGTAGTTTGGATTCAGGATATTCTTATTTTTCATGTAGTTTTTGCACATTAACAGACATGCGAGGCGATTTCAGTACAGTGTAGTATTGCTGTTACGTAGCTTCAATTATCCAGAAAAGCTCTCAAAAAAACGACGGCATGAGTTTTCACATCTATCAGCGGACGGTTTGAGTAAATATCTGAGTTTTTTCCAATTTAAGACAATATCTTGCAACCACTGGAATCGAGATGGAGGGCAGACATCTTTCCGTTTGAGGAGGATTGCACTGCAAGCCAGAAGCAATGTAAAAGCCATAGAAACGTCTAGGATTAGGTAAAAACAGATTTACCTTCCAGAACAATAACAAAAGGATTTTAACAGGTTTGGTTCCAATTTGGCACTGAATACATGAAAGAGAAAGAGAGAAAGTTTCACTATGATACAAACTGTCATACACATGTTTGACATTTTGTTTCTCTTCAAGTATGACTAATCGTGGCTCTGTAAGACAGATGTTTTTCTACTGCCGTTTCTGTAACCCGATTTCTGGTGGTTTGTCAACAGCAGAAATTAATTCTGGAAGAAAAACCTTAAAAAAAACAACAAAAACAACAACAAACGTGAGAGGCACCTTGCAGAAACATTCCCCTGTGCGACGTACCTGCCAGTGGAGGGACGAGTGAAACTGAGTCGCTCCATGACGGGGAGGTACAGCGAGTCGGGCATCTTCTCGCTGCGACACGCCTCAATGCTCAGATACTTGAATATGTGGACTTTACCCTTGATGCAGATCTGCAGAAACAGAGAACAGAGAGTCTGATCAGGACAAGGTGGAGGACAACCGATCCAAGCCGTCGGTCAGTCATGCTTCAAGTAGGTTTGACTTTTCTTCATTCCTCGATGTACAATAAGATCAAAAAGTGTTTTTACTGAACCGATATCTGTAACAAACCTTTATTTAGAGCTCTGCTTTTGTTGTTTTATGTTGTCACTTTGTTTTTCTGCTCTCCTGTACAGAAATTTAACAGACCCACAGAGAAATGGAGTAAAATTGGCACATCTATTGTTGTATAAAAAGACCCTTCACCAAACAGTATTTTTCATTATTAATGCAGGAGAATATTTCACCTACTTAAGGGAAGCCTATTAATTTTAGGTTTCTTTTAGGTGGGTTACTTTTATATCTGTCAAAACTGTCACTATGTCCTGACAGTAGAATGAGATCAATCTGTGAAAAAAAAAAAAAAAAGCTCCTCCCCCTGGTGTCCCACTGCCATCTGCAGAAACTGGTTAGAAACAACCTATCAAGAGCCAGGAGGAGGGTCTTAGCGCTGTCAATTACACTTGTGTATGTGCTGCTCATACCCTTCCCTTTGCTCTCTGATATGCTATAGCAATTTCTCTACAGATAGCCTGCCAAGAATGCTAAGGCTGGTTAGCATGGCTGTCAGTGACAGAGGATAAACAGTTCTTCTGGAACAGAAGGTTGTTTCTCTGCCGTTAGCACAGCTACAGCAAACTGGCAGTCTTGAGCAGCACCTAAACAAGCATGATTGACAGCATGTCTTACAGTTAGTGCCTTAAGTTATCCTGAGTGTTCTCTGTAGCTTTGCTGCTAAAGGCCTGAAGGCTGGAAAACAAGCGGAAAGCACTGTTTCTCACTCTGCTACATTCTCCTACTACTCTACAATTCAGCACATTCTCTCATTTCAGCTTGAAACTTTAAGCTCTTTTCCTGTTTTTTTTTTTGTTTGTTTTTTTCACAGAAGCTGCATCTTATCTGCCAATACGTTTAGCAGCGACTTCTTCCTAAGGAGCTAGACCTTCATGTTTCCATCTGTCTGCGTTTAACTTTGTCTCTTTCCTAGGCGAATCAATTGAAGGAGGTATTTTTGCAGCTAGCTGTCTTTTGTACTCTTGTTTTTTCATGGAATACATTTTACTACTGGGTCGAATCTCATGCTTTGAGATTATTGTGTTTCTCTGAAATTTTCTTCGTCGTTTCTTCTCTCTCCTTGTCATTTTTGTCTCCTAAAAATGATCGTGACCTGTCCAAATTGCCACTAATCCAATAAAGATAAAGGGAGGAGAATATCAAATTTGCCTCTGGCACTGCAAAAAAAACAAAAAACAAAACAAAAAACAAAACAAAAAAACAAAAAAAAAAAACAGACCTACCGTCCTGTCTGACCAAGCTGCTAGGAAAAAGCACAGTAAACCTGCTGGAGTGCTCTGTGAACGTACCTGTGCAGGTGGACTCTGTAGTGGGTTGTTCTCTAACTGCAGCGACTGCAGCTGCCTCATCTTCCTGTAGCACACTGGGATGGTGGACACCTTGTTACACGAGAAGTCGAACTTCACCAGCGGGAGGTCGGCCAGGTCTGAGGAAACACACAGAGAAACGCGAACGTCAGGGAACTCTTCAGCGTTCAGAGAAACAAGATTATCTTATTTCCAGGTTCATTTTTCTCTCCCGAGCAGCGAGCATGCTTCCCTAAAAGTTAAGCAAACAACGGTTTGGTCGGAGGAAACGTGCGACCACGCTTGGCTCCTAAAGCGACGGCGGAATCATTTGTTTTAATCTGAGCGCATTAACCCTGGTGGAAGGGTGCAAATCAGAAACATCAGTTGCACCTATAAAACTTCCTGGAGGCGGCTCCGGCATAAAAACGTTTACCAGACCAATAAAACACATTTACTGAGAGCTAAAAGTGTTCTGCTGAATTTTAGCTCAAATCACCAACATGTTTCCCTCCAGAGAGAACAATAAAGCTGCTGTTCGCTTCCAAAGAGGCTTGTAATCACTGCAGCAGAGCGTCCCACTGCTGCTGCTGCTCGTCTGAACGCCATCGCTCGTTAAATCCCTCAAACCTACAAATTGTGCTCGACTCATGTTGGAGTTTAGAGAGAGAGAGAGAAAAAAAGTGGAATTAGCAAAGTCAATGATGTCATGAGAACTATTTATAACCTGGACGGACCAACACACGAGAAGTTTACAGCAGGAAACGTTATCTATCCTGTAGATCTGCCGTGTTTTTGTTAAGTGAGTGTATTTTTGTATTCCTGATTTGTGTAATTGTACTGTCAGTGGAAATGCAGCTAAGTTTGTTCACGCAGTGAGTCATTTAAAACAAAACAAATACTGCAAGTGATTTTGAAACTGAAAGCTGGCAGCCAGATCAACAGCCTTCATTTTATTTGTCAATGTTTCTTTCTTCAGAATAAGAGTCTGTCACATGTTTTGCAGAACTTCCCCAGAAATTATTGCGATAAACGATATCATTGTGAAACCATTTTCAGTAGTAATAATATTAATAATAATAATAATAATAATACCTTATTAATGCTAGAATACCCACTGAAAGATTAAAAAAAAACGTAAAATTCTAACGAACATGTAAAATTGAAAAAATATTTAATTTTAAATATCCAAAATAAACAGGCAAAGCAAGAACAGCAACAGTAATTAAAATTGATTATGAAATACCAGAAAACAGGCAAAAGAAGCAAGTGGTGCAAACCAGCTGCTTAGTCAAATGTTTGCAGCGTATCTCAAAACCCCGGCTTTCCATCAATATTAAAGCCGAGCGTCTCTTTAACAACTGTTGTCCAAATGGAAGTGATTTTCATTTCTCATGCGTTTGACTGATTTGTTGCTTATCTGCAGCTTGTTAGAGTCCAATGAGATCTCACTGCACCACTGATTTCAATGACGGTGCTCATTTGGACCTCAACGCTATAATCAAACTCCACACCCCAGAGCGTGTTGGAGGACATTAGCACTTTCTCTTTGTTAATCTGAAATTATAAAAATGATGTCTGGCAGTGTTCATTAAATTTAGACAACAACCTCAGTCTGATTTGACCATTTGAGGATAGAAACCAGTCGCAGGAAACATTTGTGGAGTTTCTGCCAGGAAACCTGCTAAACCCGACGGTAGGGGGTCTATTAAAGCAAACCAGCGGCCCACTGCGTTTTGTGTTAGAAAATGTTAAATGTTACAAAAATTCAAACGTGCTTGAACAGCCATCATAATCTGGGAATATTAAGCAACAAGCTGAGGCAGCACGATGGGTGCGTACCCCCTATAAACCTAGCTTAATCTGTCTTTACAGTTACTAGCATAGTCTGGTAAAGACGAGGGTGTGTAAAAAAACAGACCCTGTTTTTTTTTGTACACTATAGGGCATAAAATAAAACCCTATTTAAAATAAACCAACAATATTTAGCCTAGTAGGGAGCTATTAAAGCCTGGCAGCCCGCCAGGCTTATAATCCACTGGGGTAAACCGTGATTTGTATTCCAGACTCCAGCTGACAGGTTTTCTTTATTCCAACCTCATGCTGGTGGTCCTAATGTCAGCCAAGCAGCTAATGAAATGATCGTTGCAGTAAAGATGTAGAAATATTCCACAAATGATGAAATTCATACAACGTAAACAACCATGTGGCCGTGAGGTCAGTCAGGATGTTTAAAGCGGTTCAGAGAACGGTAATGGCTACGGTCAGCATCAGCGCCACTAATCAAAACAATCTCAGTGTCATGATGAAGATTCCAGCCATGAGGAGGAGGAGGAGGATTTTTCCACCACTGCTGCAGTTTAATCCTCACATTGGGAGCCTTACTCCCAAACGTTATGCTTTCACCGCCCAGAGCTTGGCCAGGTTCTGAACAGCCCTGGTGGTCTCGCATCTCGGCGGGATATTAAACCCAGAACAACTTCCCCGTCTGGGTCTGCGATGGACGAGGATGGCAGCGGCGCGGGGGGAGGGCTGCATATATGCCCGGTTTGGGAACCGGAGCGGTAAATCCAAACAGAAGAGAGGGGGGAGGAGAGGTAGAGCAGAGCGAAAGATCCAGCTAACAGGCCGGAGTCGTTCATCATTCTGATCGACTGTCTGTAAAGGAACCACAACACAGACGGGGAACAAGACGTCCTCATGTTCCTGTGCCTAGTAAAGACTCTAATGAGACCTTCGCTTCTGAGACGTCTTTCGGTTTTCTGTTTGCTACAATTAAATATGCTATGAAGTAAAACAACCAGCACAGCTGGCATGAGAAACAAAAGGCGTTCAGAAGTAGAATACATCACTCTTAAGTTATCTTTAAAGGTTCTTTCATGTGTCTGGGCTAGTAAGCTACACTTAAAAGGGGCAGGATTACGCATTTCCCAGACACATTAGTGACACCTATCTCACCTTTAGTTGTTACAAAATAGGCCTGTCACAATAATCAATAAATTAATTAATCGCATGATAAATTAAAACAAACTCAATTTCCATTGGGATGATTTATCATTTATCCATTTTTTCTCTCTTTTTACCAAAAACTGGATGATTAAAGTCTTCAGTTTGATCTCAACTAGACCTTTTTTGAAGGACCATTTTGTTTACAAAGACTTCAAAATTTATTTGATTTCTTCTTTTGTTGATTTAAATGTCTTCCAGTTGCAGTGTTAAATGTTTATTAGAATTTAAAGTTCACTGATCTCTTAGGATGTTCTCTCTCATTATTATTTTGCCATCACTGTTATATTACTTAAACAACAATATAAATCGCAAGAATTTCTGAAACAATTTATTGTCCAATAAAATTTGTTATTGTGACAGGCCTATTATATATATCAAGTATGATTTAAAAACAATTTGACTTTATAATTTAATGTCTTGAAATTGGGTGTCTGTCTCTTTAAGAAGCTCCTGCTCTTTCTGAAGTTGTCACATCTCTCCTCTATTAACTTTACCAACACTTCACTGAGCAGTAGCTCCTATAATGAGCTCAGCAAATGTGAAGTTCCTCCAGGTGTTTGCTAATTGATGCCAGCTAGTCTGAAGGAGCTGCAACTGCAGCCCTGAGGAGGAGCTTCGTCCTTGAAGGCGGAGCTAGGTCCAACCAGCCATTTTGAACAGCTGAATGGCTGCCACGAGAGATTAAAGGATTTCTCAAACATGGAAGAATCAAAGCAACACTCCAGGTGTCTTTGATGAGGGAAAAGCATCATAAAGCTAAAAAACGTTGATTTTACATAATATTGTCCGTTTAAATGCTTACAAGTCTGATTCGATAACAGATTCTCATCCACAAACCCTGCAGAATCAGCTCAACTTCTTCCTTCTACTCAGATACCAATGGTCTCTTTTCCAGTAAACATGACACTATGAAGGATATTTGCTTTAATTCAACCATGTTTCTAATTCTCTTGACCAAATAGGGTGAGCTCTGCCTGAGACTTCAAAATGACATTTGTAATCACTGGTGGATACTTCTTCTACACAGTTTATTAGAAACAATAGAGATGTTTTGGTTTTCTCCTGTCTGAGGGTCTGCTGCTTTAGTTTGCTGAAATTCGGGACATTTTAGGTGAAAGTCAAAGACTCGACAACCAGACTGCTTTGTAAAACGTCTAATCAGAGTCTCTGCGGATGATTTCTGGAGAGGTACGGTTCTCTCGGTGTCACCAAGCAGATTGGGACCTTTGAAAACCAGAGGGTGACCCGCGGTCACGCTGGGGGTTCGGTATATTTTAGGAAGCCAAGACGGGTGTGGCAGAGCATACGGAGGACTCTGTGGTCTAAAAGGAGCCCGTCGCCTCTGACGTTACAGCCGCAGTTTAAACACACACAGAGAGAAAGACAGAGCAACCAAGACGGAAAGCGTAACCTCGCACAGAGAGGGAACAGACTCACCTTCCGGCAGGACGCAGAGCAGGTTTCGCCGCACGTTAAGCTCCCGCAGCGCTTTGAGTCTGCCGATGTGTCGGGGGAGGGCCGTGATCTCGTTACAGCTGATGTCCTGCGGCACATAAAACAGCATTAAATGTAAAGCATCCTCAGAGATTTGACAAATGTTTGTTTTTTTTGTTTTTTTAAGTAGAATGCTTAAGAATACCGGATAATATCATGAACCGTTTAACACAAGTTTTATTTTCATATTGATCTGACTAAAGAGAATTAAAACATCCAAGTAAATACTCAAGTAACAGTAATAAAAAAAGTCTTTGGTAAAAACGTGATTCAGGTACTGAGAAACTGATAAATAAAAATAAAAAATACCACTTAATATTTAAAAATCACATCAGACTTACCAAACTATAAAGTTATGTGGAAATGTTGGTATTTTAAAGACCAAATTGAATATAAGTAGTAAAAAACATAATTAGGAAAAATAAATAAATAAAAATGTCAGGCACATTTTCCGAGTCAGTTTCTTTCAATATAAAACTTATGAGACTACCAGAAACTGCAGGAGTGTGTGTGTGTGTGTGTGTGTGTGTGTGTGTGTGTGTGTGTGTGTGTGTGTGTGTGTGTGTGTGTGATAAACAATACTATTGTATTGTATCGTACAAGTAATGCAAGGTCGCACTTTCAATACCTTTAATTTTGTAAAGGACACACCGCTTTGGCACTGGAAGATATTTTAAATATCCAAAAAGTTTAAAATATTTTGAACATTTATTTTATTTTTTAAAACCAAAAACATTGTGATTACGATCAATTGGTTAATCATTTGCCTACTTAGGCTTAGTGAGGTTACTCACAGTGGCTAGAGTCATACTTCATAATAAAATCACTCAAGTAAAAGTAAAAAGTACAGCACAGTAAAAATACTGCTAAATCTACACTATTCCAAAAAGTTACTGAGCAAATGTGACTCTGGATTTATTATGTCAAATTAGCATGTACTCCACCTCATTCATTTGAATGAAATTTGCATCAAAACAAAGAATTTCAATCTTTTTTTTTTTCTCCATAGATGTCAACCAGTAGACAGGTTTTTCTTTTACGTGTCGTTGTGTCCAGTCGGAACTGATCAACATCTGAATACGTCAGAACTCAGAAACAAGCTGAACTCAGTATCGACCAGGAAATGTCTAATCAGTGCATCTCTAGTCTCAAGCAATCTCAGGACTGAAGTGAAGTCGGTATGCGGCTGAGTGAGTCTCACCAGCTCCATGAGGCCGTGCAGCTGCCCGATGGACTCCGGCAGGCTCACCAGTTTGTTGTTGCTGGCGTTGAGGACCCTCAGAGGTAAACCGCAGAGGCACGACGGCAGAGAGCCCAGCTGGTTCCGACTGCAACCCAAACACACACACATCACTGACACGTAGGAAGACTATCAAAAATCATTCATATGTGGCTTGTATAAAAAATCATGAAGGATATTTACATAGTTTGTAGATAAAACAAACTATAAAAATAACAGCTAAGTTATTGGGGAAGTGAGGACAGATGCAATTCACCAGACAAAGTTTTGGGGGCAACTAAGAATCTTTGTTATTTGTTTTATTTTCACATGTAGAGCAACGTTTTTCCCAAATGACAGGCTATGTTTAATCAGTGGGTTAAATGTGTGTAGCTAGCTTAGGATGTTCATTATAAACTGTGCAGGAAATCCCAAATCAGACGCAAACATTAGCATTACTAATAAATAGCAAGTCCTTGTCTTCAAGTATTTTGCTGTTTTCCATGGCAGCTCAGTGAAGAAGTAAAATCTGACGACCTTTTTCATTTTAGCCCACCAGGCTAGGTGTAATTTATCTTAAATAGGGTCTTTTAAAAACACCAGTGACACAAGAGACACTTAGCTAGGTTAATAATTGACTCATTGAACTGGATGTGAGGGGGTACCAACCCTCACCTGCCCACTGGCTTCAAATACTAGTATTTCCAAATTACGATGCACATGCACCTTTAAATATTTGGACCTTTTAGTGTTTGTAACCCAAAAACACAGTGAGCCCCTGGTTGACTGCCCTAGAAACCCCTAGCTTAGCAGGCCATCTTGGGTAAACTCTGAACAACTTGAAAATCTTCTTAAAATGAGAAACTTTATTTTAACAACCAGTTCCTGCTCCTTCAACTATTTCTCAGCTCTAGCAGCTTTCTACCCAGCACCCAGTATTCAGCCACAAAATCCATCTAATTAAAGACTTCTTCAACCAACAGAACAAAATAGGGAACTACTTCCTTTCACCCTTCAAAATAAGAGTTTTAGTCGTAGATAATAGCAGGTTCAAGTACACCCCATTACTTAAGTGCTTACACTGTTAGTCAAGCAGAGGAAATGTTTCACATCTTCTTCTATAGTTTCCACATGTGAAGCACTTTAACAATCCTCCAGAAACATATGTACCTAGTAGTAAAAGAGCCGTGTGGAACCGTTTCTACGAGTCAAAAAATAAAACAAAACCACACACAATAATACACACAGAGATGCACACACTGACACACACACACACACCTTCACCACACACTGTGAAACCTCAAATGAGTCAACTTTAAAGGAACAAAACAAAAAATAGCCCTTCGGAAACCAGCCGTCCACAGCTGCACACTCACTTTAATGTTTTTAATGCTGATCTTTCTAGTTTCAGAATGTTCTCCTATCAAAGTGTGTGACGTTACACTGAGTTGAATTAATCTGGTGTAATGCACTGCTAGCCAAAGACGCTAAAAATACAGATTTCTAGAAAGGAAAAAAAAAAGCAAAGTAGGTTTTATTTTTGTCTGTCTGCTTGTACTCAAGTGTAATGAGTCAAACACAGCCTTCCTGTCAGCGTTTCGGAAATGCGCAGTTTTAATCTCTGCCAGTGCCCCACAAAGCCCTCTTTGTTTTTATACCCAAAATTCCACTTTTTCCGTTTCAATTTCTCTGAACACCATTTTAATCATATTTATTAACCCCAAAATGCATCATTACGATGCGAATGAAAACGATTTAGCAAAGCAGTAGCCAGAGGTCAACATTTCCTGTTATTCTGAACCACAAATGGAACAGACTGCTGTGGTTCAGCAGAACTTTGGCTTTGAAAGGTGTTAAAATGTGTTTTTAAAGAGCTCGAGCATTATGAGGAAAACCAAAAATGTCATTTGAAACATAAAAGAAAAACTCCCCTTTAAAAATGATGACGAGTTGAACTCTACACCAAAACACTTATCACATGAAGAAAGAAAAGACCAAAGAATACCGATTCAGTTAAATGTTTAAGAGTTAGCAGACGTGCTAGCTAGCCTCTTTACGTTTCTGAGTAGTTGTCATCTCTTTGTTGCTCCTCCAATAAACCAAGTTTTCCCCTGCGTAAACTTGCACTAAGCTTCAGGAGTTTTCTTGGGAAGATGATGGTATTTCAGAGTGTTTTTCTCACCGTGGCTGACAGGCTAACTCTGTGTAGAGAGGCGAGCCAAGAGCCCGGTGTAAGTAGGTAACGGCGTAGCCTTTGCTTAAACAGGGATGTGCGTACCTGAGGTTCAGCGATGTGAGCGACTGCAGGGTGATGATGCTGTCTGGGATGGTCCTGATGCAGTTGTGATACAAGTTTAGTGTCTCCAAGGCGACCAGGTGGCAGACCTCTGAGGGGACGTCGCTCAGCCGGTTCTTTGAGAGGTCTGCAAAAAAAAAAAACAGAGACATTTAAATAAAGGGGAAAAAGCAAAAGCAAGAACGGATGGATTTTATTTGGATATCTAGAAATGTTGTTACTATAGAAAGGTTGGATGTTATTGTTTACATCTGGAAACTTCACAGATGTACACAAATGGTAAAAAGGCTATTGTTTGATTTTCCATTATAGTGGCGCTGTCGCGGTAGAACAATTCCTTTAACAAAATGAAATCTGGAGATGCAGGCATTATTAAGCAGGCATTATTAATTTAGTGCAGTGAAACAAAGAAAAGGGAACATCAAGCAGGAAAACCATATAAGAATAACTCCAAAAAACACTCTTATTCTTTCTTATACCCTACGCGCAGACCCGTTGCCATAGCAACCGACAACAATGCCTCTAATGTGTCAGGATTCGACACCATAAACACGTAAACATTTCCCAAACGAAGAACAGACCATTCAGTTTGTCAGAGTATCACGTTTTCAGGCTTGATGTCTATCCTGCGATAATTAATAAATGAGCGCTGTGGTAGATTAGTTACCGCTGCTATTAGCTAATCTAACACAGCGGTGGCTGATTAGTTCATTTAAACATCTGCTCTGTTGATGATCTGTTAGAGAGCTGCTGTGTCGATTGCCCTTTTTTTTTTCAACTGAGCCAAAAAATTGAATTTCTACAGCATATTTAAATATTAAGGTGGTCAAAGTCAAGCTAGCGTAACTGACCTACTTCCCTCTTCCTTGCTATTTTTTTCTATTAAAACTTTTTACCAACTTCTTGAATGTGATGCCCTTGGACCTTGTTATCTAGTTGCCATAGTGTTGACAATTAGTAGCAAAGCGCTGCGTCCCTTTTTCTTTTATAAATTATCCAGACTTAGCAGGTTATGTTGACCATTTGAGCGCTAGAACCAACAGCAGTCATTATCGCCTCGTAGGGAGCTGGGAGACGAGATCTTGTGCGTGTGACGTCACTTTATAACGCAGCAATTTATTGTTGTCGTTTTTTCAGGACTTTAAAAGGTGGATATGAATGGATTCTTCTAAAAACAGAGAGTTCACACAGAAGATGTTGGTTTTTCAGGAAACTGCAGCTGAGATTTGTTTGCAGCACAGTTGTCTCTCTGCATGTTCCTCAGCTAAAACGCACCAAGTTCTCTGTCAGAGCAGTTTGAGCACTTCACACAGCATGTAAGCTAGTCTGTGATGACAACCCGGGAGCAGAATAGCATCTTTAGTGACAGACAGCTACTGTATGAGCCTACAGCTGTGGAAGTGAACCCCTCCTCACTTTAACAACAACCAGCTATTTGCTGTTGGTAATTACAGGGTGTGGATGTTTGAAGTGCTTTGAAGGACTTTGCTCTGACATCTAGGTCAGCCATATGTTCGCAGAATCGATTGCTTCTTTCTAAACCTGCCCCTCGTTAGCTTGTTGCGTTGCCGCCGTTCTGCAGCATGACACAGTCGCCCACAGGGAAGGCAGCTTGTATCAGCCTCTAATAAAGTTATTTTATGACCGCTTTAATGAGAGGCAAAAATAAACCGGGGCTATTCAATCATCTGAAATCTGGGCTCTAAAAAAAAACATTTTTTTACAGTGATGTAAACACAGTATGTGGTGGGACAGACCGAGTCCAACATGGTAGTAAAAGGGTTCCTACACGAAATGTTATGGAGACAATTACAGACGTTTCCAGGTATGTCATGCTGATTTTACAACAATAATAAATATAAGCAGGAGGGTGAGTGAAAGAGAAATAAAAGAAAAAGATTAGGAAGTTTGAAGAAAAGGAGAATGTGGGATTAAAAACTACAAGAAAGAGCAAAGTATTTGCAAGAGTTGGGGACCAGAGCCGCCTGCAAATAACTGAAACCCATGAATACTGGAGGCCTCTCTAACTAGGCTTATGACTGCCTATTTTTTTATACTCTTTATTTAACATTTTTCATTACAATAAAACATACAACACACACTGAACATGGGGCATTGATTCTTAGTTAAGTAAAAAGACAGAAAAAAAATATATATATACACATATATATACATTACAAGATATTACACCTAGTTATGCTTCCTTGCTCTTGTATGTTAACCATTTAGACCAACGTTTGTTGTAAGAATGTCCTTTCATACGTAAAAGATATGTCAGTTTTTCCATAGAGTGAATCTCCTCCACGACGTCCCTCCAGTGGTCCAGCTGGGGGGGGAGTTTCTTTAGCCAAGATCGTGTAATTGCTTTTTTGCTTGCAATTGATAGAACTTTAAAAAGGTACTCATCCTCTTTTTGAAACAATTCTCCAGATATCAGCCCTAACAGAAAAATTCTAGGATCTTTGGGGATGACATACCCCAAAATTATCCCAGTAGTCTGACAGATTCCATCCCAGTAAGCTGCCAACTCTGGGCAGGATCAAAATACATGAGA